CCACAATCATCCCTATCTCAGTAACCTCCTGTAGCCCCACAATCGTCCTTATCTCAGTAACCTCCTGTAGTCCCACAATCATCATTATCTCTGTAACCTCCTGCAACCCCAAAATCATTCCTGTCTCTATAACCTCCTGTAGCCCCACAATCGTCCCTATCTCCATAACCTCCTGCAACCCTCTGAGATCTCTGCCCTCCTCCAATTCTGGTCTTTTGCTTATCCCTTAATTTCATCACTTTGTGATTCCACCTTTGCTGGTCATACCTTCAGCATCCCAGCAACTCTTTAAACCTTCCTTAAATCTCCACCCAGCCACTCCTCCAAAACACTCCTTAAAATTACTATCCAAACTCTCATTCATTCACAACACCAGCATTTCTTATCCTTGACAATGTGGTGGTGAGTCATCTCTTGACAACTGAATGGATTGCTTGACCATTTCAGAGGTTAATTAAGAGAAATACGCTGGGTGTGGAGTCACATGTATGCTCTCGTGGGTAAGGATAGCTAAATACCTTCCTTAAGTGACGTCAGCAACCCAGTTGGAGTTTTAATCAATCTGATAGCTATATGGTCACCATTACTAGTTTTTTATTTCAATTCCAGTTTTCTTCAATTAACTGAATTTAAATTTCCCAATTATTATGGATGGATTTGAGCTCACACTTCCTGCATTGCTAGTCTAGTAACATAGCTGCTGTGCTACCATTTCAATTAAACTTCTTTTTAACCAAGTTTCTGGTCACCTGTTCTAATGTTGTCCTCTCTGGTAGAGTGCCAAATTTTACTTGCTACCGCTCCTGTAAAGTGTCTGAGACAGCCTACTGCAGTAAAATTGCTACATGAATACAATTTGTTGTTATTCTTCCCCAAACTGCAGCATGGTGTATGTCCACCAGATGGTGGAATGACACAACATTAGCAGTTAGCACATTGTGCGATGGCACTGCCAGGATTAACTCATTCCCTTACCCAGGCTGCTGATGGTATACTTCCACTGGATAACGTACGTGTCCCCCTCGTGGAACTGGCCGTAACTCTCTCTGGGGAGCTGGCTGTGATCAAACTCCTGAACATGCCAGACCTCCACACCGACAGTCTTCAATTCTGACATCCTCTCACCATCTATTTGTAGAAATCCGTAACCGCGCTGCACATTCACTCCATCCAGGATCATTCGGGATGACACTTCCGGGATTGGAATGAGCAGCTTAGCATCGTATGGTTTCAGCTCATTCTGAGGATCTAACTGTAAAACAAAGATGTAAGGGAGAACAAAGATGTAAAGGACATTAGATTAATACTTAGAATCTGTTTTGGGATTTAATTTCTTCCGACAGTGAAATGGTTAAAATTGGAACATTTACCCTCTGAGCAAATGTTAAGACTAACATACAGTAGTTTACTGCAGCTAGAACAATGAGTATGCTTTAAAAGTACCACATTGGTGTGAAGTGATTTGATTGCTCTGGGTGCTGTGTCAGAATGCCTTTAAGAGACATGCTCATGGTATCTACTGTATCAGAGTATATATCCTGCAGGTACAGACTGCATTCTCCATCTTAACTCAGAACTCTTGAAGCTTGGCATGCTACTGAAAGTGTGCTGCTCTGTTACAATCCAGCCTAGACACTTAAGTGCCTGCGAATATAATGTTTCTACATGGTTGCGAGCTGGAGCAAATGTCTGTTGAATTCTTCAATACCACATTATCCATGACCAGTTTCTTATGAGGGATAACATTACTATTACCACATCAGTTAAAATACCCTGCTCATGGCAGAACCTGCACCACTAGGGCCTGGAAGATGCTACAGAAAGACAAGCCATTCTTCATTTTACTACCTTTATATGATACAAGATTATACCCCAAGAAACAACAGCCTGTAAAAAATATATAGAGGAAAGAGTGAATGCTACACAACAAACAACAACGAACAAAAAACAATACAGCACAGGAACAGGCCCTTTAGCCCTCAAAGCCTGCGCTGCCAATTTTGCCCTTCCATACTAAAACTGTCTTCACTTTCAGGATCCATATCCTTCTATTCCCTTCCTATTCATGTATTGATCCCAGTGCTTCTTAAATGCTGCTAGTGTGTCTACTTCCATCACCTCCTCTGGCAATGCATTCCAGGCACTCACGGCCCTTTGTGTGAAGAACATGCCTCACATATCTGTTTTAAATTTTCCCCTCATACCTTGAACCTGTGTCTCCTAGTAATTGATCCCTCCATCCATGCCATTCGCAATCTTATAAACTTCTATTAGGTCGCCCCTCAACCTCCTGCGTTCCAGTGGAAACAAACCCAGTCTACCCAACCTTTCTTCATCGCTAAAATCCCCCAATACCAGGCAACATTCTGGTAAACCTTTTCTGTACCCTCTCCATAGCATCCAAATCCTTCTGGTAGTGAATGAAGATTTCCAGCTTACACTTTGAAGAATCTTTATCCCATTAACAGTTAATTAACCAAGCCTTCTATTGTCTATTTTTTTCCAAGTCTTTTCTTAAAACAGAGTCAAGCACTTGTGTACACTTTGGTGTAATGTTTCATTATTTGTCCATTATTTTGGTGCGTCCATTAAAATAAAAGAGGAACAAGTTTCATAAGAACCTACTCAATGTTTCTACCCTGAAATGACACCTTGAGGGTGTGTGAAACCTCTTGCTGTTTACACATAATAAACATTTCACAAACAGGCCATTCGGCCTAATGGGCAAGGTGGGCAGTTAGCACACTCCAACCTCTTTGCAAGATTCCTTATCTGACTCCTTCAGCATATCCCTCCATTTTTTCCCTCCCTCAAGTACCGATCTAGATTCCCATTAAATGTACCCATACTACAGTACTCAACCAGCCTTTATGGTGAAACAAAGAACTGTGGTTGCTAACAGGGCTCACAATCACATCACTGTGAGTGAAGTGGCTTCTTCTGAATTCCCAATTTGATTTCTTGGTGACTATCTTATACTGATTGCCTCTACTTTTGCCCTGTCCCACAAGAGGAAATATTCTGTATGTACTGTTAAAATGCTTTATGATTATTAAATGCTCTACTATGTCACCCTTCAGCCTTATCTTCTCAAGAAAAAAAATGGACGATTCAGACTACTGGTTGTATAGTGGGCAGCAATGAAGGTTGTCCAAGATTACAAAGAGACCCATCAATTGGCTCAACAGGCTGAAGCATGGCAATTGAAGCTTAATTTGGGTAAATGTGAAGTATTACATTTTGATAAAACAAGCAAGGGCAAGACTTATACAATCAAAAGTAGGGCCTTGGGTAATGCTGTAGTACAGAGAGACCTAGGGGTTCAGGTACATAATTCTTTGAAGTTTGCATCACAGGTTAAGAAAGCATTTAGCACGCTTGCCTTCAGTGCTTAGGCTTTTGAATAAAGGAGTTGCAACGTCGTGTTGAAATTGTACACTACGTTGGAGAGGCCATTTGTGGAGTACCATGTCCAGTTCTGATTAATCTGTTATAGGCAGGATATTATTAAGCTGGGGAGGGTTCAGAAGATATTTGCCAGGATGTTGCCAGGAATGGAGGGTTTGATTTATACAGAGAGGCTGGATATGCTTGGGTTCTTTCACTGGAGCATAGGAGGTTGAGAGGTCACCTTATAGAGGTTTATAAAATCATGAGGGGTCTAGATAGGGTGAATGTCAGGTGTCTTTTCCCTAGGGTGGGTGATTTCAAGATTAGGGGTATATTTTTAAGGTGAGAGGAAAAAGATTTAAGAAAGACATAGGGGAAAATCTTTTACGTAGAGGTGGTTCATGTTTAGAATGAACTTTGAGAAAGTGGTGGGTGTGGGCACAGTTACAACATTAAAAGACATTTGGATAAGTACATGAATAAGAAATGTTTGGAGAGATATGGGCCAAGAACAGGCAGGTAGGACTAGTTTAGTTTGGGATTATTGTCAGCATGGACTGGTTGGACAGAAGGGTCTGTTTCCATGCTGTATGACCCTGTGAGCTGTATGACCCTGTGACTCTATTTCACAATTTCCCAGTAAGTATAACTTTCCATTTATGGTATCCTGCCAATGTATTTTGTTCCTTTTCCAGTGACTCTATGTCCTGTTAATAAACCAGTTTCTTTACCCGGTAATGGTCAGTCTTGAAGAAAGCAATACGTTACCTGAACAAGATGGTGGGGAAGCTTCGAATAAAGGTAGCCATTTTGTCAGGATCTATACTTTAGCAAGTTATCACAATCCTGAGGGAAGGAAGGGAGTTTACAAGTTGGGAGCTTGTGAGCAATACCAGTTATAGGAGCTGAATGAGTAAAAACTGAAGAAGGGTCTAGGCCCGAAACGTCAGCCTTCCTGCTCCTCTGATGCTGCTTGGCCTGCTGTGTTCATCCAGCTCTACACCTTGTTATATGAGTAAAAACAAATTGAGTTTGAATCCAGACGTCAGACGAATGTAAAAACTAAAAAGAAAACTGCTACAAAGCATTCAGTCAGTCATTTAGGTCCAGGAGAAAGGACGACGAAGCATTAATATTCGAGGTCGATGACCTTTCTCCAAACTTGGAGACTGTGAGAGTCCATGGAAAGTGTGACTGCTTCAAATTTCTTCTATCTGAACGAGTACAAGTTGGGTATCCCCAGAGTTACTGGCCAATTGATCTCCTTCAACTAGTGCGACTAGAAACCAGACTCTGTAGAGCTGTATCCCACTTGGTTTGTGGGATCCTGCTGTGTGTGAGTTAGCTCCCAAGTTTGGCGCACGACTGCATTACTTTAAATGTTACGCACTTTGTGACATTACAAGGTCGTGAGGGGTTCTATGAAAATCCAAAACTTGGCTGCGTTTTTGTTTGAAACCCCATACGGTACCTTTGACTCGGCTGTGATCTCGACGTCCCTTTGCGCCTGTTTTCTCGACTCAGCCCAGTCCAGAAACTTCTCCTTGAAAAGAATCGTTTCATTGTGTTCGGACAATCGACCAAAGATTACCCAGTCAGGGCGGCCTTGCCTGTGGGAGGGAAAGCGACATTTCTTCTAGAATTTAAAAGGAACACAAACTCAGCAACAGTTGAGCTAAAGGATGTCTACACAGCAGCAAAAAAGAAGGCCATTTGGCCCATCAAGGCTGTCCCTTCTCAAAAGCCAGCTACATTGCTTGCTGTCTTTCACACAGCCCTTTGCTTTACATACTCATGCCTTTTCCTCTAAAAAGATAGAATGGTTACTGCTTGAACTATTGTCCATGGGAAAGCATTCCATGCCCAGTTACCTCTTGTGAGGATATTTTACCTATCACTTCCCCCCTCTTCAATGTATCGGTGACAATAATAATCTTTCTCACAAAGAATCATAGAGATATACAGCACGGAAACAGACCCTTCAGTCCAGCCAGTCCATGCCGACTATAATCCCAAACTAACCTGGTCCCACCTGCCTGCTCCTGGCCCATATCCCTCCAAGCCTTTCCCATTCATGTCCTTATCCAAATGTCTTGAAATTGTGCCCACATCCGCCACTTCCTCAGCAAGTTCATTCCATACGCAAACCACCCTCTGTGTAAAAAATTTGCCCCTCGTGTCTTTTTTAAATCTCTCTCCTGTCACCTGAAAAATGTGCCCCCTAGTTTTGAAATCCCCCATCCTAGGGAAAAGACACCTACCATCAACCCTATCTATACCCCTCATGATTTTATAAACTTCTATAAGGTCACTTCTCAACCTCCTATGTTCATCTTATCAATCCCCTTCTTAATCTTAAAGACCCTATTAATCTGCTCTGAGCCACCTCTGCTCTAATAGAGTTTGGCGAGTATCTCAGGCCTTCTGTTACAAAATCGGTTAGAATCACATCGAACAAATCCAGCTGATTGATGTCAGCATTTATACCTCTACAAGTACACCTCTCAGTCTAACATTCCCTTCCTACCCTAGCCCCACATCAACAGAAATAATCAAGAAATTATTTTACAATGACACAAGTCAAAGTTTTTACAGCCAAATTGTAAGAGAGCGAAGAAAGAGGAAAGAGATATCTAAAAATAGACAGAAAGAAGAGAAAAAGAGGTAGGGAAATCCACAGTTGCAGATCCCTTCACAATAAGCAAAGGAAGGATATGGTAGGATAGTGGTAATGTTACTGGAGTGGTTAAACAGGATGCACAGCTCAATGCTCTAGAATGATGAGTTCAAATCCTAATATAGCAACTGGTGGAGTTAAAATCAATAAATGAAACTATGAATTGAAAATGGATCTTAGCAGTGATAAGCAGGAAACAATCAGTGATTACCAGAGGAAACCTACCTGGTACATTAATGCTCAGCAGGGGGAAAAAATCTGCCATCCTTACCAGGTCTGGCCAACATATAACACCAAACCAACAACATGATGGCTGACTCTTTTGGCACTCTGAGTGGCTTAGCAAACCATACAGGTTAAGGACAATTGGAGATGGGCAAGCGATGCCACATGCTATACTGCAGTGATTGTAATGAGGTGAGCCAGGTGGAGCCCATAGAATATGAGTTCCCTGATTGGGGCTGTTAACCTGGTCCAATCAGGGAGCCCTGGCTGACAGATATAAACAGGACTGTCAGAGGTTCTGCTCACTCTAGGAGTTGGCTCTGAGCTAGCTGGGTCAGTGTCATGTATTGTGCATGCGTAAATAAAGGGTAGCTTGGTGACAGGATACTGACCTTTGTGGAGTTATTTCATTTACATTTTTACAAAGTACCCGTGTGAGTTCTTTAGCTCCCACACTTGCAATTTCTTGGCCTTTTTGACGTAAATTGCCAATTTGGTGCCAATATGTCGCATATTTGCACTGTTGGTGCATGCCCACAAGTGACTGTGGGCGGACAAAGTCATTTCACCAACGGAAGAAGGTCCCAGCCTTTCATTATTACTCAAACCTTCCACACCTGGCAACACCCTGGAAAATCTGCTCTGAACCCTCTCCAGTTTAATAATATCTTTCCTATAACAGGGCGACCAGAACTGGACATAGTACTCCAGAACAGGCCTCACCAGTGTCCTGTACAACCTCAACATGACTTCCTAACTCCTATACTCAAAGGACTGAGCAATGAAGGCAAGCATACCAAACGCCTTTTTAACTACCCTGTCTGCATGTGATGCAAACTTCAAAGAATTATTTACCTGTATCCCTAGGTCCCTCTGTTCCACAACACAATCCAAGGCCCTACCATTAACTGTAAGAAGGGTTTCGACCTGGAACGTCAGCTTTCCTGCTCCTCTGATGCTGCTCGGCCTGCTGTGTTCATCCAGCTCTACACCTTGTTATCTAAGCCCTACCCTTGTTTGTTGTACCGAAATTCAATACCTCCCATTTATCCGGATTGAACACCATCTGCCATTTTTCAGCCCATTGACCCATTTGATCAAAGTCCTGTTGTAATCTTAGAAAACCTTCTTCAATGTCTACTATGTCACCAATGTTGGTGCCATCCACAAACTTACCAACCGTACCTTCTATATTCTCATCGAAATCATTTATATAAATGAAAGAAAAGAGGACCCAGAACCGATCCCTGTGAAACACCACGGGTGACAGGCCTCCAGTTTGTAAAGCAATCCTCCACTACCACTCTCTGTCTCCTGCCATTAAGCCAATTATGCAACCAATTGGCAAGCTCTCCCTGAATCCCATATGATCTAACTTTACTAATTAGTTCACTATGTGGAACCTTGTCGAAGGTTCTACTAAAATCCAAGTAAACAATGTCTACTGCTCGCCCATTGGACCAAAGGGTCTGTTTCCGTGTTCTATGAATATTACTCTATGAACAGACAGGCCAGGGACTGTAATGAGACATGAGAGAGCAACGTCCACCGATGACTGCTGGAAAATACCACCTTTGGGCCAATGAGGATGGGAGCAGTCTCAGAGTTCACATGCCCCATGGGCATCCAGTGTTGCCCGAGCCTAATGTCTAGCCGCTAAGAAGAATGGTCAGCTGGGTAAGCAGCTAGTGCCTGTGGATCCCAAGCAGATGTGCCTGCATCAGATTCAAACATATCTCAGGCTGAATAGGCCTGTCTGTACCCCACAGCAATCTCTGGTTCCTGTAAAAGACTGCTTCAAAGTAGCTCAGTTCCCATGTCATTGTTTCTGACACACCAGCACCCATACCGAAACCCATCAGGCAGCACCAGCAAACCAACTCACTGCTGGGAGATGTTCTTCTTGGCTCCAGGGTCCAGGGGGTTTACTCCGCAGTTGCTATAATCATATGGACCACTCAACAACTGTTTGGCCAGTTGGAGAGCCAACTTGCGCTGTGCCAAGGTCACCTCTTTGCCATGCCAGATGTACAGCTCGCTGCCAAAATCCAACACCAGCACCTGCGAACCAAGAGAAAAGTATCTGCTCAATTAAATGAACGTATGCATTTCAATCGTGTCAAGAAACAATCATACTTGGGGTGACTATTTCTGAGAAAATCAGGCAAGCGGGCAGCTGAAATACCCAGGTTACTTTCACCAGCATCTACTTGACTATGGTACTAACCTGTTCAGGATTAGGGGAGGCGATGGCCTAGTGGTACTTTTGCTGGACTGTTAATCCAGAGACCCAGATAATGTTCTGGGGACCTGGGTTCGAATCCTGCTACGGCAGATGGTGGAGTTTGAATTCAATAAAATATCTGGAATTAAGAATTTAATGATGACTGTGAATCCATTGTTGATTGTTGGAAAAACCCATCTGGTTCACTAATGTCCTTTAGGGAAGGAAACTGCCCTCCTTACCTGGTCTGGCTGACATGTGAGTCTAGTCCCACAGCAATGTGGTTGACTCTTAAAAGAAACTGCCCTCTGGGCAATTAGGGATGGGCAATAAATGCTGCCTGGTCAGCGATGCCCTCATCCTGTGAATGAATTAAAAAAAAGGGCAGCCGCAGAATGTTGGTGGAGTCTTGCTTTGCCTATGCATGTGAAGACTGATCATGCCATCATGTAGCAGATTGTAGTGAGACACGACAGAGAAAAGACAATCTTTGATTGCTGTCCATTGACGTCTGCTGGAAAATACTACACCACGGCCTATGCGTTTGAGAGTCATCCTAGTGTCGATGGGTCCCTCAAGCATCTAGTCTTGCCTGTGCCTGATGTCTAGTCACAGAGAAGAACCACCAAGACCCACCAGTGAAAAAAATCAGGCTACGATTTTAATACGGACTTGAATGGGGAAGCAGATGTTTTGTAACCTTCAGGCAAACCCAGACAATGCTCCCCAGCAAGGCCAAGAAATGGCCAGTATTTTCCTTTCCTTCAGAGGTCCTGGTGCAGCAGGGCATAACCTTCAACCACCAAGAGAGGGCAGACAACATCCAGGTGACACTTTAAACCATTTGCCTGTTCCACTGGTTCGGGTTGACGTAAAAGGAACAATGGGAATGTGCAAAGAGAATTCTTTGTGTGTCCTGGTCAGCAATTCTCCTTCGACTGAAAACAAATTCTCTAAATATCCTCTGATTTTCTGAAGAAGGTTCTCGACCTGAAACGTCAGCTTTCCTGCTCCTCTGATGCTGCTTGGCCTGCTGTGTTCATCCAGCTTTACACCTTGTTATCTCAGATTCTCCAGCATAGTAGTTCCTACTATCTCTCTAAATATTCACCTCTTTGTGAGACCTTGCTGTGCACAAATTGGTTTTCTAGTTTGGTTACATCAATATAGTGATTGCAGAATGCAATTAAGTCACTTTTCAAATTGCATTGGGCTACCTCCTAAGAGGTGGCAGTTATGGCTTCAGTAGCACAGCTAGTGAGTAACTACTCAGCGTGGAACGATTATAATTAGGAGACTCAAGTGTAGAGTTGGATAGGATTTGCTGCAATTAGCCTCAGCACTCTTAAGCTGGACGGGTGGTAAGTGGTCCAGTTTCTGAGAGACCCTGCGAGACCACGAGTGTCTGGACACCGGTAGAGGAAGGAGTCAGGCTTGATTGTGATGTGGTTGAATATCCTGCCAACAATCACATTTCTGGGCTCACATAAATAAAGTCCCACTGCCTGTAGATTACCCACGACCAGAGAGTCTGTGCAAGCGATGTAGCAAGTTAAGCAGCCAGAAAAGGGTGAGTGAAAACAGGCACTGGGTGAACAGTGACAAGGTTCCGAAGAGACAACCTATTGAACTGAACTCATTAGCTTATCTTAAGAGACTACTGAGCAAAGTACAAGATAATCTAAAAGGAAAGGGGATAAATATTTAAACATGAAATGTATGGAGGAATGGGGTGACAGGAGAATGAGCCAACATTGGCACAGGCAAGTGGAAACAAGCGCCATTATTTCCATCATTCCCTGAGAACTCTTCCTCATTGACTACAAATCCATGGAGTAGCTTAGAAATATTGGCACTGACCTGCTTCGGGGACAATGCACTTAGCGAGAAATGCTCCCCTTCTGCAATGTCTTAGTTGGGTTTAGCTTCAACATGTGAAGTCTAAGTATAGCTCAGCTCTGACTGAAGGTCCCAGTACAGAGATGTCACCTGCATTCACAGCCTGAGTCTGAACCAGAACAAAGGACTTAGCGAGCAGATTCTATTAACATTTACTGATGTTGCACTCTCAGGTATTTAGAACATCATGTGATTAAACTTCCAGGGAAAACTCTAACCAAAGTATTTGGTTTCATTTTTGGAAAGTCCATTATTTTGTACGGTTTCACACAGATCATTGACTCTGAAAAGGAAAGACATTGAAAATGCTGATCTACTGACATTTAAGATAAGATGGTTTGAAATTCTAAATACACTGCATGCTCCTACCTCCTTTGAATTCAGCATGGAACAGCGAGGAATTTTCCCCCATGATTCATTGTCTGGGACAAGCTTGTCCTCAACCAAACGATATATGTGGTTTGTTTCTGTGATAGCAGCTTCATACAGCTCATCTTCCTCAGGATCTCCTGCAGCTGCACAGCCAACAGTGAAAAGTCAGAAACATTAACACTGCCATCAATTAGGCTCTTTCTGGTTGTTCAAACTTGCTTTTTTTTTCAAGGTTGTCCTTTCATAGAACTCAGAATGCTTCTTAGAAGCTTTATTGTCAACAGTTTGTGCGCACGACTTCTGTACTACTCTCATAAGTGAAAGGTTTGTGTATGTGCACGTGAGAAAAAGGGAGTAAGAGACAGAGGTAGGTCTTGCTTTTGTGACTGAAGTCAATATAAATATTAATTGGGAGAGATGTAAATAGGCTTATCCCATGGTTTACCCCAAAGCATGAGAATGCTGGAGGGTGTGTCAGTGTAAAAGGTGTGTTAGTAAAATAGTGTGACAGCCAGTGAGTGTGAGAGTGAGTGAATCTGAGAGCGAGTGAGTGTGTGTGACAGTGGGAGAGTGCGTGAGTGCATCAGTGAATCAGCGTGAGAGTGAAGAGCGTCAGAGTGACTGAGTGTGAGTGTGTGAGGCTAAACAAGTGTGAAATGTGAGGGAGTGTAAAGATGTAGGACAGTATAAACTGGAAGGAAAATAATTGAAAAGAAAATCAGTAGCCTTTAAAAACAAGCTCTTGAATAAAAGTTTCTACATCAACAATTTGCTGTAATTAAATAACCCATGAGCAGTCAATGATATGGTAATGATATTCTTGAAACTAAGCTGCAATAATTAGTTCAGAGATAGTAGGAACTGCAGATGCTGGAGAATCTGAGATAACAAGGTGTAGAGCTGGATGAACACAGCAGGCCAAGCAGCATCTGAAGAAGGGTCTAGGCCCGAAACGTCAGCCTTCCTGCTCCTCTGATGCTGCTTGGCCTGCTGTGTTCATCCAGCTCTACACCTTGTTATCTACAATAATTAGTGTTGCCAAGGCTTGGAGACTCGGAATTTTAAAAAAAATCGCTTGGGCACGGCCATTAGTAATTCAGTGGAAGAAAAACATCAGGGCTTTTACAATACTTCCAAACAGCCTTGTTTTGTTATTTATAGAATATATGGGGAAAAGGCTGTTTGATTGACATGCATCAGAGGAAGAGTTTGTTCATTCTCCAATTGGTGCACCAGCAAAACGGTCGTCTTTGGTGGCCGACAGCAGGTTTTGAGGAGGTGTGCTTTTGTCAGGATGTCACGTGAAGATAACTCCAGGAATATGTCCAACCAGAACTGACAGCTCTAGCAATAATCTCCAACCACTTAGCAATAATCTCCAACCGCTTAGCAATATTTCAACATATCAGATATACAGTAGACTAAGTAGATCTAAGGAGGACTCTGTGGCTGTCTCTGAAAGATAGTTTAATTTCTGTTGAACTTAAAAGAAACACATGGAACATTGTAAAACCAAAATTGGAAATTTTAGAAGCATAAGCAGGCCTCCATACATTTTGTTTGAGCGTGGGTTCATATATGCAATTAAACTCAGGTCAGACGTCAAACAGTACTTATTTTCGCTACATACACAAGGATCCCACAGCAGACATCTCTACCTGGAGTGGCTCTCATTCCAAATGCAGCGTCTCCATCACATGACTACTAAGGCCACAGTTACATTGTCACATGCCTCAGCAGTTCCTCTCATATCTCTTAAATCCAATCTCACCACATTTCATCCCAACCTATCATTCTAGAGACAGTAAGAGAACCCCCATAGTGAATGTTAATTCTCTAATCTGAATTTCTAAAGCACTCTTAAAAAATGCAGGATCTCCAGAGACACATCTCCAGAGAACAGCTTCTTCCCCAAAGTTTGACTTCTGAACGGGTCTCAGATTTGAAATCTAATATTGATCTTGCTTGTTATGCACTTTCTTTACAGCTGTAACTTTGCATTCCTTGCTCCGTTCAATCATCCTATGATCTTTGTATGGTATAATCTGCCTGTACTGCATGCAGAACAAAACCTTTCACTGTACTCAGGTCCATGTGACAATAATAAATCAAATCAAATCAAAGCAAATCAATGACTCAGTGGCAAGAGGTAAGTTCAGAAGAGGTGATGGTGTAGACGCTGATGCTGAAATGAATCATGATGGTGTTGGTTGGATCAGTGAAACTAACGTCTATATTGTCTGCTGTTAGTGTGTAGTCAATGGTGGTCCTGATGCTACTGTTGGTGGTATCTGTGGAAACTGTGATGACATCCATGATGGTGCTGACAGTTTTAAACTTGTACACTTCAGCCATTTATTGTTTATTCAAAGCAATGTTTATCGTTGAGGTTTTCAAACTTTTTATAAGTCTGTTATCCTAAAATAGATGATACCAAGGGAAAGGAACCGAGGCAGTAACACTGTGGAAAAAAGAACAATTTTCCTGGCATTAGATCTGTGCATATTACACAAGCTGAGTGCAGTGCCCGGAACAACATTACTCAGTGATTTATGACTGTCAGGAATACTACTTGTCTGATTTCTATTTGTGCTTCACCTCTACTGGTCTCAAGTTACAGTCTGGTTCATCAATGCAGGAGATTTCCATAGTTCCACTCAACAAGAGAAACTGTGGCTTTTTGAGTTGCTTTAGTTGCACAGAACTTGAATGTTGCTGATAAAGAAAAGACTTACCATCAACTAAAAAGACATTGGAGAGTCAGCCAATCCCTGCTGTCTCCCTTATGTCAATGCCTTGATCAATCAGAGTTGACTTATCCAGTTTGAATTTAAACAAAAGCCTGGCTGTTAACTATTCCCAGAAGCATTCTCCATGGAACATCTCTACCAATCAGAGTCCACACTTGCCAACCAATCAGCACCCTCTTCTCATGCATTATCAATTGTTGCTCCCTTTCAGTTTTGGTATTCTTACAATTCCATCCTCAATAGTGAAAGATGCAAAACATTGACTTAATGTCTCTTTTCTCAGCACTAATCTATCTTTTCATTGGTGTCCTTCCATTAATTCTTGTGGGTAAAGTAGCTGGAACTGAGTGACCTGCAGGCCCAGTGATCACTCACTCCAGTTTCTTACCTTGATATTGAGCCTGGCCACCCAGAAGATCCCAGAATTCCTTGACCCTTCTGCTTTGACTATTAATGCCCTCTTCGATATTGGTGACACTCGCTGCTCGGCAGCCCAATTCATGCTTTGCCTGGATGAAACTAGCCAGCTCCGATGCCTAAAAATAGTAAAGAGGCGCAGATAAAGATTATTTATTGGGGCATCACTGGCTAACGTTACATCCCAAAATAATGAACTAGAGATACAAAAAAAACAGCAATTACTCTGATCTGAGTGCATATTTTACACTAAGTGGTACCTGACTGTCAGTATGGTATGATGCAAAGGTTCAGAGATACCTTGAGTAATGGAGAAAACCAAATATCTGACACTTCACCCTGTCATGCTGGCTGCAACTTCACTGTTGTTCAAAGAACCGAGGATCTCATAGACAGGAAGGCGTTTAGGAGATGACTGATTTGCAAGATGTCAATGGGACTGAGCTAATCTAAATTAAGCCTTGCAGCTAAGTGTGCTCTGTCTGTCAACATCACACTTACTGAATTTAAAACCCTAGCCCAAGGGCAAGTTTGGTGACATGGGGTCAGTTAATCTGCGAAAAAAAATTAGGATTCCAGTGTCTTCAATCTGTGGTGGGAAAACGTGTGGACAGATGTCCCATCCTGCTGCCAATTGAGACCAAGAAATTGGTAACTAATCTCCACTTGAGGCTCTTATCAAATTCCGGATTTCCAGTTGCCTATATATCAAAGAATTCCTACAGTGTGGAAGCAGGCCATTTGGCCTATTGAGCCCACACCAACCCTCCAAAGAGCATATCATCCAGACCCACCCCACTACACTATCCCTGTAACCCTGCCTTTCCCATGGCTAATTCAAGTAGCCTGCATATTTCCCGGACACTATGGGCAATTTAGCATGGCCAATCCACCCTAACCTGCACATCTTTGGACTGTGGGAGGAAACCGGAGCACCCGGAGGAAACCCATGCAGACACAGGGAGAATGTGCAAACTCCACACAGCCAGTCGCCCAAGGGTGGAATTGAACCCAGCACTGTGAGGCAACAGTGATAACCACTGAACCACATGAAGAAATGGATCCTAATTTTGTCCAGGAATGGCCAAGTTCTAAGTTCTTTATTATGGACTTTCCATCAGAGCAAATTGGTTAGTTTCTTTTACATCTAGACTCTCAAATACTACAATTGTAAAAACACCAAAATTCGATCACCACTTGTCTTCTAAACATGAGGAAATACGAGCTGAGTCTGTGCAATAGTGGAAACAAGTAACTATCTACAATGTTAGAACTAATGGACTCATTCAAGTATAACTGCTCTTACTGAAAGAGACAGGAGATTAGTTATAAAAGAAAACTTTGATTAATTTTTCTAATGCGTGCGATCAGATTTAATGGCCCTACCTTGGAGCGTTCTATGACATTTGCGAATTCTCCAATCCAAAGAAAGCAGTGCTTTGCAGTGACCAATAGGAAACAGTCGCCACTGTTGAGCGAGCTGGCGCTGGGTTCCACCAGTCGTACCTGGACATGCCTGCGACCTGACAAAGGGCAGAGTTATCTGCAGGTCTGCTCCTGAGCCATACATATAAACAGGTTAGCGGTTGTCAACATGTAACTGTGCCATAAAGCAAATGGACAGACAGCGTAACAAAGGCAGATACCCCAATTGTACAGTCATAGTGTCATACAACACAGAAACAGACCCTTCGGTCCAACTCGTTCATGCAGATCAAGTTTCTGAAACTAAACTCGCTCCATGTGCCTGCATTTGGTCCATATCCCTCTAAACCTTTCCTATTCACATACCTGTCCAAATGGCTTTTAAATGTTGTACCTGTACCTGCATCTTCACCTGGCAATTCATTCCACATACGAACTACCCTCTGTGTGAAAACGTTGCCCTCAGGTTCCTTTTAAATCTTTCTCCTCTAACCTTAAAAATATGCCCTCTGATTTTGAAATCTCCCACCCTAGGGAAAAAGATCTTGATTATTCTTATCTATGCCACTGATACTTTTATAAACCTCCGCAAGGTCAACCTCCAACACCCCACTTAAAAAAGTCCCAGCCTATCCAGCCTCTCCTTATAATAGCGGGGCTGCACATTACACAGGTTTACAGTCATGGCAAAGCTGATTGGCTTTGGACTCTGCTGTAAGGTCACCTCAGGTCAAGTGGCAGCCAAGGTGCTACAAGTGACATTGGCCACCCAGTATGAGGGCAAGGGGAGGAATGGTCAGATTCTCTTACACAAGTTGATGGACGTTAATAGGAGAGGGCAGTCAATTCATTAAACCCATTTAATCCTATCAACCAACATCCAAATGATCCCATTGGTGAGCACGAGCCATACACACATTTGTGATATTCCCCCATTGCCCTGTTATAGAGAAAGAAATTAGACTGGGTGCAACAGCAGCTTTCTTATGAAGGGTCTAGGCCCGAAACGTCAGCCTTTCTGCTCCTATGATGCTGCTTGGCCTGCTGTGTTCATCCAGCTCTGCACCTTGTTGTCTCTTTCTTCAAGACAGCTTTCTTTTATTTATTCGTAGGACATGGGCGTCACTGGCTGGCCAGCATTTATTACCCATCCCTAGCTGCCCTTGAGAAGGTGATGGTGAGTCACCTTCTTGAACCGCTGCAGTCCATGTGCTTTAGGTCGTCCCACAGTGCTGTTAGGAAAGGAGTCCCAAAATTTTGACCCAGCGACAGTGAAGGAATCGCGATATATTTCCAAGTCAAGGATGGTAAGTGGCTTGGAGGAGAACTTACAGGTAGTGATGTTCCCAGTGAAATAATTCCACAGAGGCCGGTATCCTGTCACCAAGTCACCCTTTATTTACATGTGGAGAGTCCTTGACACTGATCCAGCTTGCTCAGAGCCAGCTCTCAGAGTGAACAGGATGTCAGACACTCCTGCTCTTATCTGTCAGCCAGGGCTCCCTGATTGGACCAGGTTAACAGCTCCAATCAGGGAACTCATATTCCATGAGATCTACCTGGCTGACCTTGTTACAATCACCATATCCAGGTACCGGCTGTCATTGTCCTTCTAGGTGGTAGAGGCTCGGTGTTTGGAAGGTGCTGTCTAAGGAAAATTCATTGTGTCAGAAGAGCTGGTATGACATGAACTGGTGTTTGACAGGAGATTTAGACCGCATTCTGTTACTCAGTGAAACAACCTTTTGAGGTACCAACAGACAGGAAAGAACATGCTTCATCTACAACTTTGAAGTTGAAAAGATTGTGTTTTTGGCAAATCACTCTGGATGCTTTTGTGCCCCTTCTATGATCCGGCGCCTCCAGTAGGTATCACTCCTGCAGCAGCCCTTACCTCTCCAGTGACACCACTGATCAAAAGAGGACCTCGACTTCCTGCTGGTAGCTTTCTGTGGGTGGGATTTCTGCTGCCGGGATCCTAATTCCAGGGAAAGACCCTTTGCTGACCTTGCCACTGCCTGATTCTCTGACAATTCAGTGGGTTTTTGTCAAGGAGGGCCATGTGGGTCTTTCATTGGATTTCCAGTCAGTAGGTGCGATCCCCAACAGATCCACAAGATTCCAGTTAAAGGTTGAGAATTTGACTGCCAACAGATAGATATTGCCCCGAGAGACATGAGTCAACCTTTGGGGAGCTGGCGGTAATGTCACTTGACAAGCCACCCTGACCCATAGGCCAGTGTTCTGTGAACATGAGTTCAAATTATTGTAGTTAATGAAATTTGAATTATTAAAATATCTGGAATAGAGAGCAACCATGTAGCCATTATCATTTGTTGCAAAAGCCCATCTGGTTCACTGTTTAGAAACAAATTTGCTATCTTTTGCTGGCCTGGCCTACTTACATGCAACTCCAGATTGAAATGTGGTTGACTCTTAACTACACTCTGGGCAACTAGATGGGCAATAAATGTTGGCCTAGCCAGCAATTGCTATATCCCGTGAACCAAGAAAAAGAAAATAGCCCTATTAAACTAATGAGTGTTTTCAGAAAACAACAAACAGAAAGGAACAAAGCCAGTTGTGGTCACATGTTCATGTGAAAACAGTGATTGAATTTGATATGAGATCACAGGGGACCTTTCGTTAACTCAATGCACAAACTCCATATTTTTGCAAATGTTTTCTGCAACTTCCAGGCTATGACAGAGCTGGCCAGCACTTACCTTTAACTTGCAGTAGCATCACTTTGTTGAAAGGATTTGCGCTGTTACTGGGCACCTGCTCTGTTATCTTCACATTCCGAAGATTGATGTTTTTGAAGTTCTCTTTGCTTGCTAGCCCCGCCAAGCTCACGTCTGCGTAGTTGGAGTGTTTTGCCACTGTAAATATGCAAAAAAACATTCCTGAGATGGACAAATAAAACCAAGGTAGAATAAAACACAGAGATAGTAGGAACTGCCGATGCTGGAGAATCTGAGCTAACAAGGTGTAGCGCTGGATGAACACAGCAGGCCAAGCAGCATCAGAGGAGCAGGAAGGCTGACGTTTCGGGCCTAGACCCTTTTTTCTGAAGAAGCCTTCATGCTCCTCTGATGCTGCTTGGCTTGCTGTGTTCATCCAGTTCTACACCTTGTTATCTTAGAATAAAACACATCTACTTTATACATCAGAGAATACTAAAACAGGTTAGGGTGCTGTCATATTTTGGACAGACAGTCTGGGTTTAACTCCTAATCCAGAACATGAGCACGATACTTAAGTCTGACACTCCAGTGCAGCAATGACAGTGTGCCCTAGTATTGGAGACACCAAACTAATCTCCCACTTGCCTGCTCAAGAGGATGTAAAAGATAGGCCATAGTGCTATTTCACAGAAACGCTGGGGAGTATGGGGTTCTGGCAGAAATTAATCCTTCAAACAATATCACAAAAATAGATAATCTGGTCATTTTTCAGATTGCTGTCTGCGGGAATTTGCAAATTAGCTGCTATGTTTCAACAGTAATGACAATTTGAAAACACAAATTGGCGATAAAGTCCTTTGAAACATTCAGTGGTCTTCAGAGGTGCTATATAATGCAAAGCCTTTCAGCATTTTTTTTAAAAGTAGTGTCACTCACCAGCTAGAGAGTGTTGCAGGAAGCTCTACATGAGTTGGAGTGTCCTAAGTACAAGTTAATGAAGCTAGTGCAGTCCAACATGAGCAGGATGCAGAGTGTAGAGTGCTATAGAGAATAGAGCATATGGATTCATGTCATGTTGGAGATGGGGTGGCACAGTGGCACAGTGGTTAGCACTGCTATCTCACAGCAGCAGGGACCTAGGTTCGATTCTAGCCTTGGGTGACTGTCTGTGTGGAGTTTGCACATTCTCCCTGTGTCTGTGTGGGTTTCCTCTGGGTGCTCCAGTTTCCTCCCACAGTCCAAAGATGTGCAGGTTAGGTGGATTGGCCATGCTAAATTGCCCGTAGTGTTCAGGGGCGTGTAGATTAGGGGGATGGGTGTGGGTGGGATGCTCTGAGGTTCAGTGTGGACTTGTTGGGCCAAAGGGCCTGCTTTCACACTGTAGGGATTCTATGACCCATGCTGGAACTGATTATGTTTAAGTTGACACATGAAGTAGAGTTTTATATACAGATTAGCACATAGTGAGGAGGTTAACTATCAAAGGGTTAGATGACATCAGATCCATGATCTCCTGATTCACATACATAATATTGAAACACATAAAAACATCCTTTTATAAATGTAATAGAAACAACGGGGCATGTGGGTGCCACAGTGGCTGGGATGCATTAATTACCTGCAAATGATATTTTAACTTTTTTTTAAATTCGTGGGATGTGAGCATCAATGGTTAAGCCAGCAGTTATTACCCATTTCTAAATTACTCAGAGGGCAGCTAAGTGTCAACCAAATTGTTGTAGGTCTGGAGTCACATCTGGCCAAACCAGATTCAGACAGCAGTTTCCTTCCTTTAGCAGACATTAATGAACCAGATGGGCTTTTCCCCTGACAATTGATAACAGTGTCAAGGTCATCATTAGACTCTTAATTCCAAATATTCTTTTTCATTGAATTTCATTGAACCCTGGTCCCCAGACCCTTAGCAGGGTCTCTGTATTAAGAAGCTAGTGATAATACCACTAGATTATTGCCTCCTGAATAAATTTTGGATGTTTTCTTTGGAAATTTGATTTTCATTACAGTGTCCCCCTATGGGCTGTTTGCATTTACTGGGGTTTCTGCTATAATAAAAACCGAAAGAACTGCGGATGCTATAAATCAGAAACAAAAACAAAGTTGTTGGAAAAGCTCAGCAGGTCTGGCAGCATCTGTGAAGGAAAAAAACAG